GAACATATGTGATTTACATTTGTAAAGCATTTCTACATAGCAAGGTCATACAATTTCGTTAAAAGACAGTAAATGAAAGGGGAAACAGTTAATTTGGAGAGCATCTGCATTATCACAATCTTACTTTTTAAATTGTCATTAATATGTCCTTTGTGTCTTTATATGCCCTATTGTGGGTTTCAAGAGCTGAGTAATATAGGTAGGAACACTGTGAGCTGCAACAAATCAGAGCTTCAAAACTACCAGGATTAATAATGATTCACATTTCTGTAATGAATGTTGTGCATTTTAGAAAGCGTTCTTCTCATTTTTTCTCCTCATGGGTCTCACAAGACACTCCTGATGTAGGTAGGACAGGTATTATTATTTTTTTTTCTCAAGGTTCTTTTCTGTCTAGTCTTCTTTGGCTTGACTCAGATGCCACCTGCTGCATGAAACTGTCTTTTTCCTTGCAGTTAAGCATAAACTTCTTAGGACTTTCTCTGTATGGTACTTGTCTTAAGCTAATTAACAACACTGTTAATAGTTTCACAATTCCTGGAGGGCAGAAGTTGTCTCAGATTTATATATTTTTTTGCATTTTTAATTTTATTCTATTGAGGTACAATTCACTTAATAAGGTTAACCATTTTAAAGTATATAATTCAGAGGTATTTAGTATATTCACTCTATTGTGCAACCATGACTTCTATCTAGTTCCAAAATATTATCACCTTGAAAGTGAACCCCATACTCATTAAACAGTCACTCCTCCCTGCCTCCCCACAGCCCCTGGCGATCACTAATCTTTCTTTGTCTATGGATTTACCTATTCTGGATATTTCAACTAAATGGAATCATACAGTATGCAACCCTGTGTGTCTGTCTTCTTTCACTTAGCATAATGTTTTCAAGGTTCATCCACTTTGTAGCATATATCAGTATTTTGTTCATATTTATATTTGAATTTTCATATTTTACTAAAGAGACACTCAATAAATATTAGTTTATTTAATTAATGGTGGACTATTTTACCCCAAACTCCCATACTTGACAGCATATGCTAATATTATACCATCTGTATAAATAGATAAGGCCTGAACCTAAGTTCTGTTATTTCATTCTTAGCTACTCAGTCTAAGCCTTAAACATTAACTGCCAGATGATTTTCTCTATTTATCCATGCTGAGATATGGCCCAATCGTTTTGTCTTTTCCAGTGAGATCCTACTGTGACAGCCTCTCCCATTGAAGTTCGTGTGTGGATAGAAGGTAAGATGTTTTGAGACATCTTAGCTCTGCATATGACATTTCGTCTTTTACAGGCTCAACTGCCCAAATTTCACAAAATATTAACACATAAAAACACATATTATTGGGGCCGGCCCAGTGGCGAAGTGGTTAAGTTCGTGTGCTCCGTTTCAGCGGTCTGGGGTTCACAGGTTCGGATTCCACGCGTGGACCTTATCAAGCCATGCTGTGGCAGGCATCCTACATATAAAGTAGAGGAAGATGGGCACGGATGTTAGCCCAGGGCCAATCTTCCTCAGCACAAAGAGGAGGATTGGCAACAGATGTTAGCTCAGGGCTAATCTTCCTCACCAAAAAAAAAAACCCAAACAAACAAACAAAAACCACATATTATTTTGCAGTCTTTTACAGAAGATGCTTCAGTATTAATGCTTTGAACCTGAAATCTGTAACTTAAAGATCATAACATTATGTTTTAATAAACATATTCTAAGAATAATTTCCCTGTCATGATTAGTGTCTTCCTTGTATGAATATTGGAATTAATGTATTAATTAAATTTTAATTAATATATTAATATGTGATTTGGGACTTAATAGAATTAATATATGATTATTGGAAGCAACCAAACATTCTAAAATAATGACATGAGATGAACAGTAAAATACACTACCTAACGGATGTGATTTACAATCTTCTATTGAAAGGAGCCAATGCTGACTTAAGAGAATGGACTATATACAGGAATAGATGCAATGAAAGGAAGATTTCATTGCAATTAATTTAATTAATTTTGTTATTAATTATAATTTGTTACATTTAATGTGTAGTTAAACTTCAAGAGCAAAGGCTATGCCTGCCTCCATCACTTGCTGTACACATTAATAGATACTAAAAAAATGTTTACTGATTTAACAGGGAGGAAAGATCCGAAGTCGTCTTTTATCAGGTGTCTTTATTAGCACCATACCAAGGAGCACTTTAGGAAAGATTGGCAATGCTTAGCATTTTTTAATTTTAGAAACTCTTCTAAAGATGATTAATTACTATGGATCTTTGCTTTATTGCAGTGTTTTCTTTACATAGTGATTAGTAAATATGCTTTAGCATTTTCTGTTGTGTTAAGAAAAATGGATTATGCACTACATAGATGAAAATAATATATTATCATTACAGAATTATAGTATCTTTTTCAAGTTTTAATTCTCTATTCATAAAATAGCTTCAGTGCAATAAAATTTCCCTCACATTAAGTTGAAATTGTACAGTTGTCTAGCACAATATATGTGAGAATTTATTATAAAAATAATTTCACTTATGTCAATAAAATTATTTTTATGCAGAGGCGTTTCAAATGAAGAATAAATTCCAAGTTTTCTTGGTTGACATTTTAATTCTAATTTTTATAATTTTTTATTGAAGTTTAATTGGCATACAATATCCTATTAGTTTCAGATGTACATCAATATTTATATACATTACAAAATGCTAACCACAAGTCTAATTATTATCTGTCACCATACAAAGTTATTACAATATTATTGACTGTATTCCCTATGCTGTACGTTACATCTCCATGACTTATTTTATAACTGGAAGTTTGTACCTCTTAATCCCCTTCACCTATCTCTCCTACGCCCCTAACCCTTCCCCTCTCTGGTAACCACCAGTTTATTTCCTGTATCTATGAATCTGTTTCTGTTTTGTTTTATTTGTTCTATTGTTTTTTAAATTCCACACATAAGTGAAAACATATGGTATTTGTATTTCTCTGTCTGACTTATTTCACTTAGCATAATTCCCTCTACGTCCATCCACATTGTTGCAAATGGCAAGATTTCATTCTTTTTTATGGCTGAGTAATATTCCTTTGTGTGTGTGTGTGTATACATACCATATCTTTCTTCATTCATCTGTTGATGCACACTTAGGTTGCTTCTGTATCTTGGCTATTGTAAACAACACTGCAATGAACGCAGGGGTGCATATATTGCTTCAAATTTGTGTTTTCTTTTTCTTCAGATAAATATCCAGAAGTGGAATTTCTGGTCGTATGGTAATTCTATTCTTAATTTTTTGAGGAATCCCCATACAGTTTTCCATAATGGCTGCACCAATTCACATTCCCACCAACAGTGTACAAGGGTTCCCTTTTCTTCACATCCTTGCCAATACCTTTTATATCTTGTCTTTTTCATAATAGCCATTTTAACAGGTGTGGTAGTATCTCATTGTGATTTTGATTTACATTTCCCTGATGATTAGTGATGTTGAGTATCTTTTCATGTGTCTGTTGGCCATCTGTATGTCTTCTTTGGAAAAATGTCTAAGTCCTCTGCCCATTTTTTAATCAGTTTTTTTTTTGATATTAAGTTCTTTATATATTTTTGGTATTAATCCCATATTGGATTGTGATTTGCAAATATCTTCTCCCATTCAGTAGGTTGCCTTTTTGTTTTGTTGATACTTTCCTTCACTGTGCAAAACTTTTTAGTTTGATGTAATCCTCTTTGTTTATTTTTGCTTTTGTTACACTTGCCGGAGGAGACTGGTCCAAAAATAATATTGCTAAGACTGAGGTCAAAGAGCCAAGTGCCTATGTTTTCTTCTAGGAGTTTTATGGTTTTAGGTCTTACATTCAAGTCTTTAATTCATTTTGAATTTATTTTTGTATGTGGTATAAGATAGTGGTCTGGTTTCATTCTTTTGTGTGGAGCTATCCAGTTTTTGCAGCACCGTTTATTGAAGAGACTGTCTTTTCCCCCATTGTATATTCTTGCCTCCTTTGTCGTAGATTAATTGGTCATATAAGCATGGCTTTATTGCTGGGCTCTCTGTTCTATTGGTCTGTGTGTCTGTTTTTGTGCCAATACCATATTGTTTTGATTACTGTAGCTTTGTAGTATAGTTTGAAATCAGGGAACATGATACCTCTAGATTTGTTCTTCTTTCTCAAGATTGCTTTTGGTGATTAGGGGTCTTTTGTGGTTCTATACAAATTTTAGGATTCTTTGTTCTAGTTCTGTGAAAAATGCCCTTGGTATTTTGATGGGGATTGCATTGAATCTGTAGATTGCTTTGAGTAGTATGGATATTTTAACAATTTTAATTTTTCCAATCCCTGAACGTGGTATATCTTTCCATTTATTTATGTCACCTTCAATGTCTTTTGAGTGTCCTATAGTTTTCAGAGTACAGGTCTTTCACGTCCTTGGTTAAATTTATTCCTAGGTATTTTATTGTTTTGGAAGCAATTGTAAATGGGGTTGTTTTCTTAATTTCTTTTCCCAATAGTCATTATTAGTGTGTGGAAATGCAATCTATTTCAGTATATTAATTTTGTATCCTACAACTTTACTGAATTCACTTATTAGTTCTAATAGCTTTTGAGTGGAGTCTTTAGGGTTTTCTATATGTAGTATCATGTCATCTACAAAGAGTGACATTTTTACTTCTTCCTTTCTAATTTGGGTGCCTTTTATTTCTTTTTCTCATCTGATTGCTGTGGCTAGAACTTCCAATACTATGTTGAATAAAACTGGTGAGAGTGCTCATCCCTATCTTGTTCCAGATCTTAGAGGAAAAGTTTTCAGTTTTTCACTGTTGAGCTTGATGTTAGCTGTGCGTTTGTCATATACGGCCTTTATTATGTTGAAGTACATTCCTTCTATACCCACTTTGTTAAGAATTTTTATCATAAATGGATGTTAAATTTTCTCAAGTGCTTTCTCTACATCTATCAAGATGATCATATGATTTTTATGCTTCTATTTGTTAATGTAGTTTATCACGTTGATTGATGTGTGGATGTTGAACCATCCTTGCATCCCTGGGATAAATACCTCTAGATTGTGTTGTATGATTCTTTTCATGTATGTTTGAATTTGGCTTGTTGATATTTTGTTGAAGGTTTTTGCATCTATGTTCATCAGGGTTATTGGCCTGTAATTTTCTTTTTTTGTGGTGTCTTTGTCCAGTTTTGGTGTCAAGGTAATTCTGGCTTTGTAGAATGAGTTTAGAAACATTCTTTCCTCTTCAATTTTTTGGAATAAATTGAGAAGGATTGGTATTAACTCTTCTTTAAATGTTTGGTAAAATTCACCTGTGAAGCTGTCTGGTCCTGGACTTTTGTTTTTGGGATTTTTAAATTACTGATTTGGTTTTGTTACTTGTAATTGGTATTCAGATTTTGTATTCTTCATGAGTCAGTCCTGAAAGGTTGTGTGTTTCTAGGAATTTATTCATTTTTTCTAGGTTTTCCAACTTGTTGGTGTACAATTGTAGTAGTCTTTTATGATGCTTCGTATTTCTGTAGTGTCAGTTGTAACTCTCCTCTTTCATTTTTGACTTTATTTATTTGGGCCATCTCTCTTTTTTTCTTTATGAGTCTGGCCAAAGATTTCTTGAATTTATATTTATAATGAACCAGCTTTTAGTTGCATTGATCCTTTTTTTCAGTCTCTATTTCATTTATTTCTACTCTGATCTTTATTATTTCCTTCCTTCTACTAACTTTGGGTTTTGTTTGTTCTTGCTCTAGTTCTTTAGGTTTTTAAACTGTTTATTTGAGGTAGGCCTGTATTGCTACAAACTTACCTCTTAGAACTGCTTTTGCTGTGTCTCATAGATTTTGGAAAGTTGCATTTCCATTTTCATTTGTCTCAAGGTATTTTTTAATTTCCTTTGTTTTCTTCATTGACCTATTGGTTGTTGGGTAGCATGTTGTTTCATCTCCACATGTTGGTGCTTTTTCAGTTTTCTTGTAATTGATTTCTCGTTTCATACTATTGTGGTCAGAAAAGATGCTTGATATGATTTCAGTCTTCTCACTTTTATTGAGACTTGTTCTGTGGCCTAAGATGTGATCTATCTTGTAGGATATTCCATGTGCACTGGAAAAGAATGTATATTCTGCAATTTTTGGATGGAATGTTCTGTATATATCTATTAAGTCCATCTGGTCTAATGTGTTGTTTAAGGCCAATGTTTCCTTACTGATTTTCTGTCTGAATGATCTGTGCATTGATGTAAGTGGGATGTTAAAGTCCTCTACTATTATTTTTTTATTTGTTTTATTTTTGCTGAGGAAGATTCACTCTGAGCTAACATCTCTTGTCAATCTTCCTCCTTTTTTACTTGAGGAAGATTCGCCCTGAGCTAACATCTGTGGCAATCTTCCTCTATTTTGTATGTGGGTTGCCACCACAGCATGGCTGATGAGTGGTGTAGGTCTGCGCCTGGGATCTGAACCTGTGAACCTGGGCCACTGAAGTGGAGCATCCAGACTTAACCACTATGCCATGGGGCTGGCCCCGTAAAGCCCCCTACTATTGTTGTGTTACTGTCAAATTCTCCCTTTATGTCTTTTAATATTTGCTTTATATATTTTGGTGCTCATATGTTGGGTGCATACATATTTATGAATGCTATATTCTCTTTTTGGATTGACTCCTTTATCATTATGTAATGTCCTTCTTTGTCTTTTGTTACAGTCTTTATTTTAAAGTCTATTTTGTCTGATATGAGTACTGCTACCCCAGCTTTCTTTTCATTTCCATGTGCATGGAATATCTTTTTTCGATCCCTTCACTTTCAGTCTGTGTATGTCTTCAGATCTGAAGTGAGTCTTTTGTAGGCAGCATATAGATGGGTCTGTTTCTCTATCCTTTCAGCCACCCTGAGTCTTTTGATTGGAGCATTTAGTCCATTTACATTAAATTAATTATTGATACATATTTACTTATTACCATTTTGTTAGTTGTTTTCTGGTTGTTTTGTAGTACTTCTGTGTTCCTTTCTTCTTCACTTGGTCTCTACCTTGTGGTTTGATGGTTTTCTTTAGTGTCATAGTTGGATTCCTTTATTTTCATCTTTTGTGTATCTATTGTAAGTTTTTGGTTTGTTGTTACCATGAGGTTCATATATAGACCCATATATATATAGCAGTCTATTTTAAGGTGATAGCTGCCTAAGTTCAAATGCATTCTAAACACACTACATTTTTACTCACACCCCCCTATTTTATGTTTTTCATGTCAGATTTTGCATTTTTTGTTTTTTGTATACTTTCACTACTTATTGTAGTTGTTGTTGATTTTACTACTTTTTTCTTTTAACCTTCATACTACCTTTTTAATGGCTGATCCATTGCCTTTACTAAATATTTGCCTTTACCAGTAAGATTTTTTTTTTCTTTCATATATTTTCTTGTTTCTAATTATGGCCTTTTCTTCTCCACTTAAAGAAGACCCTTTAGCATTTCTTGTTAGTGCAGTTTAATGGTGATGAGCTTCTTTAGTTTTTTCTTTGGGAAACTCTTTATCTCTCTTTCACTTCTAAATGATAACCTTGCCAGATAGGGTATTTTTGGTTGGAAGTTTTTTCCTTTTAGCACTTTAAATATATCATGCAACTCCCTTCCGGCCTGCCAAGTTTCTGCTGAAAAATCAGCTGATAGTCTTAAGGGGGTTCCCTTGTATGTGACTTGTTATTTTTCTTTTGCTGCCTTTGAGATTTTCTCCTTATCAACTTTTGCCACTTTAATTATAATATGTCTCAGTATGGATCTCTTTGGGTTCATCTTGTTTGGTACTCTGTGTGCTTTCTGGACCTGGATGTCTGTGTCCTTCACCAGGTTGGGCAAGTTTTCAGCCATTATTGCTTCAAATAAGTTTTCTGCCCCTTTGTCTCCTCTCCTTCTACGACACCTATAATGCGAATGTTAGTATGCTTGATGTTGTCCTATAGGTCCCTTAACTCTCCTTATTTTTTAAAATTCTTTTTCTTTTTGCTGCTCTGATTGGGTGATTCCCACTATTTTGTCTTCTAGATTGCTGATCTGTTTTTCTGTATCACCTAATCTTCTGTTGATTTTCTCTCTTGTGTATTTTCATTTTAGTTATTGTATTCTCTAGCTCTTATTGGTTCTTTCTTATATTTTCTAACTTTTTGTTGAAGTTCTCACCATGTTCCTCCATTCTTCCCCTGAGTTTGATGAACATCTTTATGACTATTACTTTGAACTCTTTATCTGGTAAATTACTTATCTTTGTTTCATTAGGATTATTTTTCTGGGATTTTATCTTGTTCTTTCGTTTGGAACATATTCTTCCATCTCACCATTTTGTTTGACTTTTTGTGTTTTTTTCTATGAATTAGGTGAAATAGCTACCTCTCCCAGTCTTGAAGGAGTGGCCTTGTGTAGGAACATCCTCTGTGTAGACTGTGCATGCCAGGTGGCTTTGGCAGGCTGAGTGGAGCTGGAGTGGATGTGGGCCAGAGAATTCCTGAGGCATGCTGCATCCAGGCCATATCGGTGTAATGACTGGAGCTACAGTGGTCACGGGATGTGGGGTCCCAGGGCATGCTGTGGCTGCCTTGGCAGGATGGCTGGATCTGGAGTGAGCATGAGCTGAGGGGGTTCCAGAGGGTGCAGTGCTGGGGCCGCCTTAGTGGGACAGCTGGAGTGGGCACAGATCAGGGGTGTCCTGGGGTGTGCTACACTGAGGATGCCTTGGCAGGACAGCTGGAGCTGGAGTGGGCTAGAGAGGTCCTGGAGCATGCTAGACTGGGGCCACCTTGGCAGGATGGCTGGAGTGGGTGTACCCTGGGGATTCCCAGGGTGCACTGCATTGGGGCTGCCTTGGTGGGATGGCTGGAGAAGGTGTGGGCTGGGAGGATCTCAGGGCATGCTGGGGTGGCCTTAGCAGACTGGATAGAGCATCTGGACTGTGTTCCTGCCCAAGCTATCAAGTTGGAGGGGAAATGCAAAAAATGGCACTCGCCAACACCTCCCACCTCAGAGAGAGTTCCAGCAGTTCCCTGCCTGCTTGGCAGATGCTCTAGGGTTAGTAAATGGATTCCTTCCTGTATAGTATAAGTGCCCTATAAAGCACTGTTTTTTTCACTGTTCCTCAGGGCCCCTTAGTGATATTCTTTCTTGCTCTAGGTCACTAGAGCATTGAGGGTGGAGTTTCTGTTGATATTGTGTCTCCATGCCTTTCCTACCCATCTCTATATGGTCCTTCTATCATTTGTTGTGCAGAAACTGTTCAATCAGCCCTTGATTCTTCTTCCAAGGGAAATGTTCTATATCTAGGTGTGGATTCGGTGTGTCTCTGGGACGAGGTGAGTTTAGAGTCTTCCTACACTGCATTCTGGACCCTCTAACTTTTATAATTTTTAACATTAAAAACTTAAACACTCTAAAGTCACCCTCACTCAGTAGTTTAGGGAATAAAATCTTGGTTTGTGCTTTTGGAGGGAAATTCCAAGTTTTCTTAACTGCTATTACTATTTTTTTTCTTCTGAGTTATTCCTCTTAATTTTCAGACCTTGCATTTGCAAACCACTGAGAGTAGTGTTAATGCAAGAAAAAAATGTCTTCCTCCCCTGTGCCCATAACATTTCCTATGCTTCTTGAAGCACTTTCTGCCTATTATTTTATTTGTGTGTGTAAGTGTGTGTTTTATCTTTTCCCTATGAAACTGTAAATAGTTTGAAGACAAGGGTAATATTTTATTCATCTTTGTATCTCTGACAACACTCAACATAATACCTTGCAAAGAGTAGCTGCTTAGCTTATTTTTTTATTGACAAAATCATGACTTTAACATTCTCCTTCTCAATTTTTCCTATAAACTTGCCCTTATGACCAGCAGCTTTCAAGTTGCCACACTAAACTTTTGTTTAGTGATATTGGTGAAATCTTATAACAGTAATTGTAAAAAAAAAAAGTAATTTCAAATAAGCAGGCCATGAATTATAGGCATCTTACCTCAATGCTTTTAATTTTCTGATCAAATATAAGATTAAAGACCTTTTCCTTACTGGTATCCTAGCTTCATTTGTTCTTTGGTTTATTATTTATTTATTAACGTTATTAGAAAGGTAAAATGTTTTCTGTTATCTGAAAAGAAAAACAAAGATGATTATGCCGATTTGACTTACTGGACCCCTTTTACACAGTTAATTTAGAGGGAAAAAGCTGGAGCAGGATAGCACTATTGAAACTGAGAATATCAGGGTAGGGAGGTTTCAGGTAGCTGTTATTTTAGCTTTTTCGAGATATTATCATGCATAAACAGGTTACTCTGGAAAGATAATACTTACAGCACTGTCTATTGAATTTTGGGTGCAGTTTGAGACTCAAAAGGGACTATAGAGGAGTACTCTGCTATTGAGACTGCCAGTGTTTAGAAAAATTATTATTCTTTCATTTTGATTTGTTTTTGTTTGTCTGTTTTGTTTTGTTTCTGAGTCATGTAGATGGAGAGTTCTGTGACCCTGAGTCACATTTCTAGACCAGTCCAGATCCCAGGCCTTTCAAAAAACCTCATGTTGTCCTCAGAGTCACTGAAGATTAACACAAAAACTTCATTTGGTGTGGGTTTAATAACAGGTGTTTTTTAAATTTTTTTCATTGAGCTGTAATTGACATATAACAATATATTAGTATTGATTTGTTTTTAAGTAAAGATGTTTTTAGATCTTAGTACAAAATAGAAAGTGTGATTTAAATTTAATGGGTGGAGCATCTTGAATCCATTGAAAGAACATAGGCCGAGAGTTTGGAGACCTGACTTCTAGGCTTGATTGTACCACTAAACCCCATTGTGACCTTAGACAAGCGACTTGGCCTTTACGATTTGTAAATATTTCTTTACAATTGGTTTTGTTTATTTCTCAGGTTTCTTTATTTCTTTATTTCTCAAATTGACAATACATATATATATGTCTGAAAGGTGTATTGTAATGAAAAATAAAAATCAATAATAGAAATATTTGGGGAGGATTAAAGTACAAAATAAATGTGAGATGTATTTAATCATTATTCTACTAATTTTTATCCCACTATCAAACTATTATTATTATTCTAGTGGCTACACTGTCAGCAGCACCAACATATTGTTACTCTCTCTTTTTTTTTTTAAAAACAGGTCTTTATTTTATTTTTTTTTAATTTTTTGTTTATTGCAGTAACATTGGTTTATAACATTGTATAAATTTCAGGTGTACATCATTATACTTCTATTTCTGCATAGATTACATCATGTTCACCACCCAACTACTAATTACAACCCATCACCACACACATATGCCGAATTATCCCTTTCGCCCTCCTCCCTCCCCACTTCCCCTCTGGTAACCACCAATCCAATCTCTGTCTCTATGTGTTTGTTTGTTGTTGTTATTATCTACTACTTAATGAGTGAGATCATCCAGTATTTGTCCTTCTCCCTCTGACTTATTTCACTTTGCATAATACTCTCAATGTTCATCTATGTTGTCACAAATGGCTGGATTTCATAGTTTCTTATGGCTGAGTAGTATTCCATTGTGTATATATACCACATCTTTAACCACTCGTCCCTTGATGGGCACTTAGGTTGCTTCCAAGTCTTGGATATTGTGAATAATGCTGCAATGAACACAGGGGTGCATGTATCTTTATGCATTGGTGTTTTCAAGTTCTTTGGATAAATACCCAGCAGTGGAATAGCTGGATCATATGGTAGTTTTATCCTTAATTTTTTGAGGAATCTCCATACCGCCTTCCATAGTGGCTGCACCAGTTTGCACTCCCACCAGCAGTGTATGAGAGTTTCCTTCTCTCCACACCCTCTCCAACACTTGTTGTTTCCTGTCTTCTTAATTATAGCCATTCTGACAGGCGGGAGGTGATATCTCATTGTAGTTTTGATTTGCATTTCCCTGATAGTTAATGATGTTGAGCATCTTTTCATGTGCCTGTTGGCCATCTGTATATCTTCTTTGGAGAAATGTCTGTTCAGGTCTTTTACCCATTTTTTAATTGGGTTGTTAGTTTTTTGGTTGTTGAGATGCACGAGGTCTTTATATAATTTGGAGATTAACCCCTTATCAGATGTATGCTTTGCAAATATCTTCTCCCAATTGTTAGGTTGTCTTTTCGTTTTGTTGATGGTTTCCTTTGCTGTGCAGAAGCTTTTTAGTTTGATGTAGTCCCATTTGTTTATGTTTTCTATTGTTTCTCTTGCGCGGTCAGACGTGGTGCTTGAAAATATGTTGCCAAACCAATGTCGAAGAGCTTACTGCCTATGTTTTCTTCTAGAAGTTTCACAGTTTCAGGTCTTACATTCAGGTCTTTAATCCTTTTGAGTTAATTTTTGTGTATGGTGTAAGGTAAGGGTCTATTTTCATGTTTTTGCATGTGGCTGTCCAGTTTTCCCACCACCATGTGTTGAAGAGACTTTCTTTTCTCCATTGTATTTTCTTGGCTCCTTTGTTGAAGGTTAGCTCTCCATAGATGTGTGGGTTTATTTCTGGGCTTTCAATTCTATTCCATTGATCTGTGTGTCTGTTTTTGTGCCGGTACCATGCTGTTTTGGATACTATAGCTTTGTAGTATATTTTGAAATCAGGGAGTGTGATACCTCCAGCTTTGTTCTTTTTTCTCAGGATTCCTTTAGCTATTCGGGGTCTTTTGTTGTTCCATATAAATTTTAGGATTCTTTGTTCTATTTCTGTGAAAAATGTTGTTGGAACTTTGATAGGGATTGCATTGAATCTATAGATTGCTTTAGGAAGTATGGACATCTTAACTATGTTAATTCTTCCAATGCAAGAGCACGGAATATCTTTCCATTTCTTTGTGTCTTCTTCAATTTGTTTCAGCAATGTTTTATAGTTTTTGGTGTATAGATCTTTCACCTCTTTGGTTAAGTTTATTCCTAGGTATTTTATTCTTTTTGTTGCAGTTGTAAATGGGATTGTAATCTTAATTTGTCTTTATTCTACTTCGTTGTTATTGTATAGAAATGCAACTGAGTTTGTATGTTGCTTTTGTATCTTGCAACTTTACCGTATTTGTTTATTACTTCTAAAAGCTTTTTGGTGGAGTCTTTAGGGTTTTCTGTACATAAAATCATGTCATCTGCAAATAGTGAGAGTTTCACTTCTTCCTTTCCAATTTGGATCCCTTTTATTTCTTTTTCTTGCCTGATTGCTCTGGGTAGGACTTCCAATACTATGTTAAATAGGAGTGGGCAGAGTGGGCATCCTTGTCTGTTTCCTGTTACTAGAGGGATAGCTTTCAGTTTTTCGCCATTGAGGATGATATTAGCTGTGGGTTTGTCATATATGGCCTTTCTAATGTTTAGGCACCTTCCTTCTATACCCATTTGATTCAGAGTTTTTATCATAAATGGAAACTGTATCTTGTCAAATGCTTTCTCTGAATCTATTGAGATGATCATGTGATTTTTATTCTTCATTTTATTAATGTGGTGTATCACGTTGATTGATTTGCGAATGTTGAACCATCCCTGCATACCTGGAATAAATCCCACCTGTTCATGGTGTATAATGTTTTAATGTATTGTTGTATGCTATTTGCTCTTATTTTGTTGAGGATTTTTTCATCGATGTTCATCAGTGATATTGGCCTGTAATTTTCTTTTTTTGCGTTGTCTTTGTCTGGTTTTGGTATCAGGGTAATGTCGGCTTCATAGAATGAATTAGGGAGCTCACCCCCTTCCTCAATTTTTTGGAAGAGTTTGAGAAGGATAGGTATTAAGTCTTCTTTGAATGTTTGGTAGAATTCACCAAGGAAGCCATCTGGTCCTGGAATTTTATTTTTGGGGAGGTTTTTGATTACTGTTTCAATCTCCTTACTGGTGATTGGTTTATTCAAATTCTCTTTTTATTCTTGATCCAGTTTTGGAAGTTTGCATGATTCTGAGAATTTATCCATTTATTCCAGATTGTCGAATTTGTTGGCATATAGCTTTTCATAGTATTCTCTTATAATCTCTTGTATTTCTGAGGTGTCTGTTGTAATTTCTCCTCTTTCATTTCTGATTTTACTTATTTGTGCCTTCTCTCTTTTTTTCTTGGTGAGTCTAGCTAAAGGTTTGTCAATTTTGTTTATCTTTTTGAAGAACCAGCTCTTGGTGTTATTAATTTTTTCTATTGTTTTTTTAGTCTCTATTTCATTTATTTCTGCTCTGATTTTTATTATTTCCCTTCTTCTACTGATTTTGGGCTTTGTTTGTTCTTCTTTTTCCAGTTCCTTTAGGTGCATTGTTAGATTGTTTATTTGAGATTTTTCTTGTTTGTTGAGATAGGCCTGTATTGCTATAAACTTCCCTCTTAGAACCGCTTTTGCTGTATCCCATAAATTCTGGCATGTCGTCTTTTCATTTTCATTTGTCTCCAGGTATTTTTTGATTTCTCCTTTGATTTCTTCGTTGACCCAGTCATTGCTCAGTAGCATTTTGTTTAATCTCCACCTATTTGTGGCTCTTCTGATATTCTTCTTATAGTTGATTTCTGCTTTCATACCGTTGTGGTCAGAAAAGATGCTTGGTATTATTTCAATCTTCTTGAATTTATGTAGACTTGTCTTGTGGCCTAATACATGATCAATCCTGGAGAATATTCCATGTGCATTAGAAAAGAACGTGTATTCTTCGGTTTTTGGATGGAATGCTCTGTATATATCTATTAGGTCCATTTGTTCAAGTGTGGCATTTAAGGACAATGTTTCCTTATTGATCTTCTGTTTGGATGATCTATCCGTTGGTGTAATTGGAGTGTTCAAGTCCCCTACTATTATTGCGTTACTGTCTATTTCTCTTTTTATGTCTGTTAATAATTGCTTTATATATTTACATGCTCCTAATTTGGGTGCGTAGATATTTACAAGTGTTATATCCTCTTGTTGAAATTTACCCTTGATCATTATGTAATGCCCTTCTTTGTCTCGTTTTACAGTTTTTGTTTTTAAATCTATTTTTTCTGATGTGAGTATTGCTACCCCAGCTTTCTTTTCTTTGCCATTTGCATGGAGTATCTTTTTCCATCCCTTCACTTTCAGTTTGTGAGTGTCTTTAAGTCTGAAGTGTGTCTCTTGTATGCAGCATATACATGAGTCTTGTTTTTTATCCAATCAGCAACTCTATACCTTTTAATTGGAGCATTTAGTCCATTGACGTTTAAAGTAGCTATTGATAAGTATGTACTTACTGCCATTTTTTAACTTTGTTTTTTGTCAGTGTTTTAGTAGTCCTCTATGCAGAATTGATGGTCTATTTCGTTTGACCTCTGTCTGAAAGCTCTACCCTTTAACTCCCCTCCTTTCTCCTTTTATGTTTTTGATATCATATCTAACCTATTTTTTGTGCATTTGTATCCATTACCATATTATCATGGAAATAGATAATTTTTCCTATGTGTGGTCTGCTCTTTTCCCCTTAAATCAGTCCCTTTAACATTTCTTGTAGCACTGGTTTCTTGGTGACAAACTCCTTTAATTTTTTCTTGTCTGGGAAACTTTTGATCTCTCCTTCCATTTTGAATGATAACCTTGGTGGGTAGAGTATTCTTGGCTGTAAGTTTTTTCCTTTTAGCACTTTAAATATATCGTGCCACTGTCTTCTAACCTGTAAGGTTTCTGCTGAGAAGTCAGCTGATAGCCTTGTGGGGTTTCCGTTGTATGTAACTTGTCTTTCTCTTGCGGCTTTTAGGATTCTCTCTTTATCTTTAATTCTGTACATTTTAATTATGATGTGTCTTGGTGTGGGCCTCTTTGGGTTTATCTTGTTTGGGGCTCTCTGTGCTTTCTGTACCTGAATGTCTATTCCCTTCCTTAGGTTAGGGAAGTTTTCATCTATTATTTCATCATATAGATTCTTTGCCCCTTTGTCTCGCTCTTCTCCTTCTGGGACACCTATAACATGGATGTTAGTGCGCTTGATGTTGTCCAAGACGTCCCTTAGACTGTCCTCACTCTTTTTAATTCTTTTTTCTTTTACCTGTTCAGCTTGGGTAATTTCTTGTAGTCTTTCATCCAGCTCGCAGATCCGTTCTTCTGTATCTTCTACTCTGCTTTTGAGTCCCTCTAGTGAATTTTTCATTTCCAGTATTGTATTCTTCATTTCTGATTGGTTCTTTTTTATGTCTTCCAGTTCTTTGTTGACATTGTCACTGAGTTCATCTATTCTTCTCCCCAGATCAGTGAGCATCCTTAACACTCTTTGTTTGAACTCTGTCTTGGGTAGATTGCTCATTTATATTTCACTTAGCTCCTTTTCTGGGGTTTTGTCCTGTTCCCTCACTTGGAATGTATTCCTTTTCTTTCTCATTTTACCTCCCTCCCTGTGCTTGTGTCTGTGTATTAGGTAGGTAAGCTACGTCTCCTGCTCTTGGATAGGTGACCTTATATAAATGATGCCTTGGAGGCCTGCAGTGTGCTTTCCTCAGTTCTCAATGTTCTAGGAGTGACCCCTATGTGGGCTACGTGTGTCCTTCTGTTGTGGCATGATTGTTTTCCTTGTAGCCACCCAGGGAGGCTGAGTTATACTCCTGGCAAGCTGTTGTAATTCTCAGCTGCTTGTAGTTGTTGTGGGCCCTTCAGTCCCTTTATTGGGTGTGGGGAGCCCCAGCTCAGTTTGCTGCAAGTTCTAATACCACATTTGTGTTGCAGTATTTCTTGTAAGTGAGTAGGCCCCCTGCCTGGCAGGTTGTTAGGCTCAGGGGCTTACAATTTCTATAAGCCTCCAGCCTTTAGGTCTCTTGTCAGCTCTCTGAGGATTGCAGCTGGGTGGGGCTGGCCTCAGGCATGGGACCACCCAATTGTTTCAGGCTTTGGAAGGTCGGGCAAGCCCCCATGTGTGTCTTTGTGAAGCACAAGTCTTCTGCAGCTGACAAGCCCTGCCGCCCACAGGTCCACACACACGGTCAACACAATCCTGCCCCCTGTGTGCGCCCCGACTTCCTGAAGTGGACCCAGTCTCTCCACGCTGGAGCCCCACACACTCCACCACTGCCTGACACTCTCCACCTGCTCCTTGTGCACGCCCTTCCCCACTGAAGTGGGCTCAGTTGCCAGGCTTCAGAGAATCCAGTCACCAATCTATGCAGGCCCAAAGGTTGCCTGAGGGCTTGTTGTTAGGTGGGACCTGTACCTAGGCTGGGCTGCCTGCCCTGGCTGGGCTGGATTAAGTCAGTGCTCTAGTGGGCGGGGCAGACCCTGGGCTAGCAGGCCCCAGGGAGAACTCCAATGGTGTCTGTGTTAGCACTCCCACACCAGGCCACAACAATGGCCGCTGCCAATGTCCCAGTCCGTGGAGATGTCTCACCTCTCACCGCAATGCACTGAGAGCCTATCAGGTGAGTCTCTTTTCACCAAAGCACTGTGCACCTTTCTTTCTGGTGATTTTAGGTTGCTTTCTGAAACGGGTGAGTTTGTGCGTGGGCCCTTTAAGAGCCGGTTTTAATTTCTTTGTGAACCAGGTTTTCTGGGGGTACTCCCTCATGTTTTAGTAGCAGGCAAAGTCAGATATGCCACACATCTCGATTGTGCTGGGTCCACGAAATGCCTACAGCAGAGGCACTCCCGGCTCAGGGCCCCAGTCCTCCAGGGAGGGCTGGGCACCTTTGGGCTGCTCCCGGGTGGCCGTGAAGCTATTGGCTTGTAAAGGTGGCGTTTTTCCTCTTCAGAAGGGAATTTCTGCGTCTTCCACCTCAATTAGGATTGTCCTTTGTTGCAGGAGTTCCTCTTATCCAGTTTTCAGTTCTGTCTCAGGGGTAATTTTTCCACGAGTAGTTGTAAATTGGCTGTGTCCGCGGGAGGAGGTGAGTTCAGAGTCTGCTTATGCCCCCATCCTGACTTCTCTCCCCCATATTGTTACTCTTTATGGACTTACTTATATCTTACAGGTTTAGAAGATTGTTATCTTTGTCTATATATGGATTTTAATAACATAAAACCAGGTATACCTTAGCTTAGAAAGCATTAATTCGGGGATAATTTTCTTTCAGAAAATATTTGTTGATCTGGAAATGATGAATTAAATTGGAGAGCTTGCAAAATTAGAAAATTAGCAAAGTTCACAGTAATGGGCACTTAGGGACATCTTCATTGCTGACATACATTCACATTGTCAAAATCATTGGCTTTGCACGCTGTATTTGATAGGCAAATCATTCTGCTATAGTGACTATGACAATATTGAATTTATCATTCTGGAAGAGACTTGTGAATGAACAGGGCTTAAAATTAAAAATAAGTTAAGGGGCTGGCCCAATGGCGCAAGCAGTTAAACGCGCACACTCCGCTGCGGTGGCCTGGGGTTCACTGGTTCACATCCCCGGCACACACCAACGCACCGCTTGTCAAGCCATGCTGTGGCAGGGTCCCATATAAAGTGGAGGAAGATGGGCATGTGTTAGCCCAGGGCCAGTCTTCCTCAGCAAAAAGAGGGGGATTCGCAGATGTTAGCTCAGGGCTGATCTTCCTCACAAAAAAAAGTAAAAAAACATAAAAATAAGTTAAGAATGGTAGGTAGAAAAACATCAAGAAAGA